ATTCCTGCTACTGAAGTGTGCTAGCTGCATATAACAAAAGAAAGCCAGAAATGGAGCTGGATTGTTTGTTTGTTTGTTTTTACCATCTCTTTGCAAATGTTGCAGCAGAAAATTGCAGCTTTGGCTTGCCCTGATGGGTGCAGCTAAGTGAAACTTCAGTGACATTCAGCAACATACACTTTAAAGGAGGAAACAAACCAACCACTGGCGGGATGCAAATCTGGAGGGGGAACTGTTTGAATGGGATGTGCTTTATAATCTATGTCACTTAGGTATATCCTAAGAAGTTTGCTAATATGTCCCTTCTACCATTCACTTATAAATAGAGTCAGTTTCTTTTTCTTTTGGGGAACCTTCTGCATTAGTCTGACTGCTGAAATGGTTATGGTGTTCCTTCTGGCTGCAAGCATAGCAGTATGAATAATCCTGTCCTTTCTGTCATGGTGTCATAGGCAGCTCCTGCCCTGAAGAGGTACCTTTTAATATGTGGTCCATGAGTTTGAATGCTTATAGCTGAGCTTCTAATCGCTCATTCTGCTCTTCCTGACTGGCTCGCTTCCCTTTGAATTGTGTAAATGTCTTAGGATAACAGTTCAGGAGTAAGGGTCAGTGCAACATTGTTCCAAAGTAAATTAAAGAAAATGGGATAACATTGTACGTCTGCCAAAAGGCCGCTTGGGGGCTTGGAACAGTGAGTTGTGGCTAGTCACACCTGCAGCATGTTTTAAGAGGGAATTAGACAGAAATACTTAGGATATGTCAGTACCCTTAAAAAAAAAACAACACATGAAACAAATTTGCCTGCTGAAGCTGTAGAGATTGTGTCATCAATAGCTACCTGTAATGAAAAGCAATGAGAAGACATATGTATTTACTTAAGAAAAGTTGGAACTGAAGTTGCAAAATATATTTTAAAATTCAATAAATTAATGTTCTTTTAAAAAAACAGAAACTCTGGAAATACTTATGTATAAGGTTCCAGGAAAACTGACAAAATACCTCTTTGTCCCCAGGCATCACCTTCAAACTCTCAGCTGTTTACCACATTACCTTTAAAAAGCAAAACAGTTCACCTCTACACAGATCTCCCACCCCTACCAATCAGAAGCCAAGTGCAGCATCTTCCCAGTTGTGTTCTATGTATGTTGTTGCATTGCTGTCATCACAGTAGTCTCTGAGCACCCTCTAGTAGTGCATTAGGCAGAGTGATTTACATGTGTTTTTTTCATTCTCTCCTTGGGCAGCAGGGAATGTATAGAATAACATTTTTGGGGGAATTTAATTCTGCCTGTGTTACTTGTATGTTCCCTTCCCTCTTAGTACAAGCCATAGAGCATGTCTTGCATATGGATCTTCAGATCTTGCCCTCCTTTCTTTGGCTGGGTTACCCCACTATCCCAATTCACTCTCTATTTTGGTCATTGGCCCCACTCTCCATATACAGGAATTGATCTTAATTTTTTACAGGCTACAGATCCAAAATGCCTGCAGTACACTTACAAGATGGTTCTTAGGCACTCCCTCTGGTCTCTGTCCTCTCCATTCTTGATATGGAGAAGAAAGTTTAGATCATTATATAGAACACCAGCAAAGGGTAATTGCTTACATTGTGCATTTGACAGGCCCCGATTCTATACTGAGTGCTACAAGCCTCTCCCTCCCCCCACCCAGTAATATTGAAGCTTTGCAGATTAACTGCCACAGCAGTCTCACGGTGGAATTGAGAACCTCAGTGAGGATCTGTCAAGACTAAAGAGAGGAGGGCAATGGCAGTCGAGATTTTTTTTTAAACCTTAATCTTACACAACTTACTGATATTAAAGGATTTTTTTCATTATCCCCTAATGTTTTGATGACTTTCATCATTCCTTTTGTTCAGGTTTCCTTACTTCACTTTTTTCCAATAACTAAAATGTTAATAATGTATTCACTTACATTGACCTAACTTTCCTAAATAGAAGCTAGTTTGCCCCAGCTTTTCTGTGGAGGCAGTGGCTAGAAGAGTCTGCTGTCTTACAGCAGCTCCTAAAGGGTCGGTACTTAGCTTGGAGAGAATTTCTGCTGCTGTGATACTCCCACACTAGGTCAAGTAGGTAGCTAACAGGGGAGTTTGCATGCGCAAATTCTCACAGGGCAGTCTATAGCAGGGGTGTCAAATCAGTTGCAGAGCCACATTTCACATTTGGTTTCAGGTGCCTTCAGGCTGTACTCTGGCTCTTGCACTGGTAGCCCCAGTGGCACTACCCTGACAGTAGCTGCAGTGGTGGGGCTTCCTGTGATGGCAGCCTGAGACCCAGCAAGAATTGGGGTGGAGGCTTCCACCTGCAGTGCCAGAGGAGATCTGTTTCTCTCTGTAGCACGCATTTCTCTCACTCTGTGTTCCTGCAGAGTGTGTGTCTGTCTGTCCCGCACACATGTTGCGTCACTGCAGCCATAGAACTATGTGGTAGTAGGACCTCTGCATGTGTAAGAACTTCAATCGCCATAGCCAAATCTGGGGCAAAATTCTGAGGACCAGATATTTGACACCCCTGGTCTCTGGCACTTTTGTGGGGAGCAGAGAGAAACATCAGCCTCTGGTGCTCTCTTGTGCTGGTGGTCAAGCAAACTCCTTGAGCAGCCTAGAATCAGGCAGGCTGAAGAGTAGGTAAAAGCCTTTTCCTGTCTTGGACTTTGCCTTTTTGTGCTCTATCTCCTAGAGTTGTATCATAGAACCTCAGCCTATATCTCCACAGCCAGGGAGGTGAACAGGCATAAGGGAATCATTGTACTCATCTGTCTAGGTACCTTACAGCCCAGTCATTATTCATAGTCACTGGGGTGTTTCTATTTATGGGAATAGGTGGGACTTTTTTTCAAGCACTTCAAATTCTGAAGAATGACAACTGAGACTGGGACCTTTCCTGGAATCATAGAAAATTAAGGTTGGAAGGGACCTCAGGAAGTCATCTAGTTCAACCCCCTGCTCAAAGCAGGACCATCCCTAACCAGATCATCCCAGCCAAGGCTTTGTCTAGTCAGGTCTTAAAAACCTCCAAAGATGGAGAGTCCACAAGCTCTCTGGGTAACCTGTTCCAGTGTTTTACTACCCTCCTAGCAAGAACATTCTTTTTAATATCTAACCTAAACTTCTCTTGCTGCAACTTAAGACCATTGCTCCTTGTTCTGTCATCATGGAGAACAACCTTCCTTCATCCTCTTTCAAACCCCCTTCAGGTAGTTGAAGGTTGCTATTAAATCCCCTCTCAGTCTTCTTTTTTCTAGACTAAATAAGCCCAATTCCCTAAACCTTTCTTTATGTCATGTGCCCCACTGCCTTCACTATTTTCATTGCCCTCCACTGGACTGTCTCCAATTTGTCCACATCCTTTCTGTAGTGGGGGGTCCAAAACTGAACACAGTACTCCAGATGTAGTACTGCTTTGGACAAGCACCTAGCTGGAGTCGTCTGACCCCAGTGCTCTTTCCTGCCCAGGGCAGGGGGTCAGACTTGATGACCTACTAAGTTCCCTTCCGACCCTAACATCTAAGAATCTATGTGGCGCAGCAGTGCTGAATAGAGGGGAATAATCACTAGAAGGGAATAAGCATCTGAGCCTGATGCTTCAGGAAGTTTTATGTCCACTTTACAGTCCATTCATCCAGCCCATACTTCCTTAGCTTGCCTGTGAGAATGTTGTGGGAGACCATATCAAAAATCTTCCTAAAATCAAGGTATACCACATCCACTGGTCTCCCTGCATCCACAGTGTCAGTCACCTATGAAAAAGATTATTTTCACTGAAGTGCCTCAGTTACTCACTGAAGCAGGTCTTGAGGGTCCTGTGACAGGAGTGGCTTTGTCTTTTGGTTCCAGTTACAGTGGCATTTGAGTGCTTTACACTGTGGATGTTCTTGAGCCTAAGGAGAAGGTGTGCTTTCTTGAATTGCTACTCAGAAACAATTTGGCAAATGAGCCATAAAGTTAATCATGAGGAAAGAGACTGCTCACTACCCCTTCCAGCTAGTAGAAATGTAGTCAGGCTACCTGAGGCTTCAGTAAAAAAGAGGGATGAATAAGCTAACCTAGTAATGTGGAAAGGCACCCCAATCTCCTGAGGCAGCAAAGGAGAAAGCCATTGGGTAACAAATTGTTCTGGTGGACTTTATTTCTGAAGTGCACGCTAAGAAATACACTCACGAGGTCTGGTGGGAAAGGCTTGACGTTGCTCTTATAGGAGGAGACAGGGAATTAGGAAAGGGATCTGCATTTTCTCATATCATCTGTCCACTCCGTGTGTTCAACTGTAAACACCAGTGAAGAAGTCAGTCTTTTACCTTTCATGCAGGACATGTTAATTGTCCCATTGATCCTTAATTCTAGATCTGAGGTGTCTGAAATTCAGGAAATGGCCAGCAGTCGCATTCAGAAGTTATAACAATAAGTTTGGGCAAAAAATGCCCTTGAGCTGAGACTTCCAAGTCAAGTGAGAAGTTTGCCTGAGTTGAATGGCCCATCTAGCTAGCATGGTTAAAGCACTCCTATAAAGGCTATAAAGTATATAGCAGGACACAGGGGAGTGATGTGACTGGTGTCATGTCTGGCCACTGTTGACTCCCAACCTGAATGGCCAGAAAGCCATTTAGAGCTGGGTTGACTGGGCAGCCTTCAGCACAAGTCTGGAGCAGGACTCAAATTCATGTCTCTGGAGCTGTAGCCAGATGCCTTATACACAGCCACAGTCTCCTTAGGACTGTGCTCTGCTCCATCAGTAGTCTTTTGGTCATAATTGGACACTTCCATTCAAGAACCTCTGTGTAATTCATAAACAGGAATGACATTTGCAGGAACCAAAAACAAAGCAGAGAGATCACTTATTTAAGGGCACAGAGGACATCAGACAGAGCTAGGAATATAACACAGCTCTTAGTCTAATGTCTTAATCACTGTCCTCCCTCTACAAGATTACTTCCTTTGAGCTACAGAGTATGACAAGTTATATAAAATACTGGTTATTTAGGGGTCTGAATACAATCCACAAAAAACACTGTGTTACAGAGCAGGTTGAAAACAGCAGTTCTTAAGAGTGCTATACACAAAATATAGGGTGGGTGCAACAACTGCTTAGATCAAGCCAGCCTCCCCCTTACCTAGTTGCAATATACCATTGTCTCAGACATCCTCCCCCACAGATTTAGCTCTGAAGCAGTTCCTGGGGACAGCTGGAAGATTTAAATGCTTCCGGGATGTCGCTGTCCAGTTTTGAAATTATTTTATAAATGGGTTTCTTCCAGGAAGGGTCAGAGTCTTTTCCTGCCTTGACAGCACTGAAGAACTCCTGGAGGGTCAAGCTGGCAACCTCCAGGAAGCGATCAGGAACCTGCAGACACACAGAGAAAGAGAGAGACTGCAGTGAAGAGCATGTCATGCTAGGAGTTCCAAGGGAGCATGCTGAAGTGCTTCGCACCGTGCAAAGAGAAGAGGGAGTTCTGGCTTTCACCTGGTAGGGATAAGCCGAGAGACCCAGCCACCCTCCTGAGCATCCCAGAGGCAGATGCACAACTTCCCAGTACCAGCTGCTGAACTTGTCTCTTATTTACCCTCCCAGACAAGCCTCCTATATGCTCACTTGGGCTAACAGAATCATTGTTCCCCCCCCACATTAGCTCAACCACTTCCCCACATGGGGACTCCCAGCCGGGGGACAGCCTCATCTTCCCATAGTCCAGACAGTCGGAGCAGAAAACTGTTGTCGTTTCCCTGTTTAGGGAATAAGGTAGCATGTTAAACTTTCTCCTGCAGGTACTATATAGCAGCGTTTTTCAACCTGTGAGTGGCAACCCAAAAGTGGGTCACAAGAATATATGAAAGGGTTGCAAATAAACTTTAAAAATGGGTTCTCCTTTAAAGGAGAAAAACAGGGAAACCGTAGCTTTTCCTTTGCAGGCTGGCAGAATTCCGGGCTGTGAGGGGCTGCTTGGGGCCCTGATGCCCCACACTCTTCCTCCCTCCCCTGCCCCACACACACTGAGGGCTGGGGATGGGGAGGCAGAGGGTCAGGAGTTAAGGGCACTGGGCCAAGGCTGGCCATCAGTGTTTACAAATGAGTCCTGGTACAAAAAAGGTTGAGAAACCACTGCTATATAGCACTATGCTCCCATAGCCATCCCTAACATAAGAGGACAAGCTGAACTAGCTGTTACAAGTCAGAAAAAGACCATAAAGTCACTATAGATGACTCCCCACCCCAGCAAATTGTACATCACATGCTAAAGTCAGTTACTTGGAAATCATTACAAACTTTGTACCAATGTGGTTACCTTGTGTAGGGTGCTCTCTCTCCCCTTTCCATAGCACTGCATTGAAATTTTCTAACTGTTAGTGTAGGCTGCATGACTAATGGCATGTCCTAGATTGTGTCAATATACACCAACTATGTGCCTATGAAGCTACAGTGTGCGGAGTTCTGTATTGTCTTCCAGCCATACTAAACCACGTAACAACTATAATTTTAACATTTTCATAATAAAGTTTTAAATCCACTCTCTAAAAGCATTGGTTCAATGTGCACCTGTGTGCTAATATAATATTGAGCATCATTAAGAAGGTAATTGAAAACATCATACCACTATGCAAATCCATGATGCACAGTTTTACTTTCTGCCAGAGGATGTAGTAGAATTGGAAAAGGTACAGAGAAGGGTAACCAAGTTGATCAGGGGTATACAGCAGTTGCCATACTAGAAGAGACTAAGGTGGCTAGGGCTCTTAAGTTTGGAAAGGAGCCTGAGGGTGAATATGATAGAGGTCTGTAAAATCATAAAGGGTGTAGATAAAGTTAATATGGAATAGTTATTCACCAAGTCCCAGAATCCTAGAACTAGTGGACATCCATTGAAAGTAGCAGGAAACAGGTCTAAAGCTAACAAGAGGAAGAACTTTTTTTTATGCAGCACACAGTTAACTTGTAGAACTCATTGCCAGGAATCCTAGTTTTCCACAGGGAAAAAAAGCAAAAAAAAATCTGTTTAAAAAAAACAAATATCTGCATTTTTCCATAACCTATGGAAAGCACAGTGGGGTTCTGTGGCAAGTGGTGCCATTTCTGCTCTCTCAAATTTTGCCACAATTTTTGCCCCTCTGCTAATCAGCAACCAGGGGAGGGAAGGGGTACACTGCTGAGAGGCAAAACCGCAGCAAAAATAAAAAAAGCAGAAACGGTGCTGCTCACTGTGGGATGCCACCATACTTTCAGTAGATGGTGGGGAAAAAAACAGATTTGTGGTTTTCTGTGTTGAATGGAAAACTAGGATCCCTGCTCATTACTACAGCAGGTTGTAGAGGCAAATTGTCTTCACCCTTTTGGAACCTGGTTACACTAATTAATGGATGAAAGATCTATTAATAGCTGTTAGGGTGGCAATATCTGGATCTTCGGGAGCACTGGATTTGCAGCTGAATAAAGGCTTTAATCTGTGTCCCAGCAAGAGCTGCTGACCACAAGGCAGAATGATATATATTAAAAGTAACTTTGCAAATGCTTAGGCAAGTAGTTCTTTAACCATGTAATAGTATTGTTGTGAGAGATGTATAGTTTTTATTTATAAGATTTTTCTTATGAGTGCTTATTAACCATCTTAATTGTGTTAACCATTTTTCTGAAAAAAAGCAGCAAGTCAGTCTGTGGGCTGTGAACCAGCTACAGTGAGGAATGAGATAAGATACAGGGAGCCCAAGCAGATGGAGCCCAAGAAAGGTGGAGATGGTACAACATGGGACAGGAAAACAGACTGGAATGTGGAAAAACAACATGTAATGGGTAACAGAATCCGAGATGAACATACGCAAAAGGATGAATAGTGATTGGTAAAGAAGTCCCCGGAGTCCGCCCATTGACTGAAAGAAGGGAGTTCATGGACTTAGACATGCGCTCATAGCAAAAAGGCATGTAAATTAATGAAATGCATAGGCAATTCCATGCTAATGAAGCAAACAGTAAACAGGTGGAGCTTGAGATACAAGGAAAAATGGGTGGAACAGAAGGAGGGATGGAGGTGGAGTGAATGTCAATGAGCATGAACCAAAGCGTATAAATGTGAGGAAAAAACTATTGTTCAGGGCTGCTCCCCTGGTTTCACAGGCTGTCTCTGTGAGGGAGCTCGCCTGAAGCTGTCTCCATTCTGAATAAAGCTGTTGCGAGCAATGTGTCCTGGTGTTTGCACTCTGTCTGCTCTGGCTAATGAGTACCAGGATCCGTGAGCAATTGGATCGTCATCTCCATAGTCGTTGGGCACCGCATGAAGTCGGGGTCTAACAATAGCTATTAAACAGAACAGTCAGAGATGTATCCTTGAACATCTCTGAATGGCTGATGGTGGATGCGAAGGAGAATATGATGAGATAAATCACTCTAGATACACCCTGTTCAGTGCTCTCCCTCTAAAACATCCGTGTCTATCACTGTCAGAGACAGGATCGTGGGGTGGATGGACCATTGTTCTCACCTAGTGGTGGTTCTTATGTTTTTATGACTGAGCATATGAGGATGTACAACTCAGTCCGCTCCAAGTCTGGAGTAGTTTCTCTCAGGGACCACAAGATGGCACATGAACTTTTGGTCCTGCAACCACTTCTTTCAGGCTAGTTCTGAGGGTCAGGGTTTCATCTGGTCACTAAGGAGCAGCCGATCACTCCTGAGACTTGGGTATCATGGAGATGGACACACTGCATAGGAGCCTTGAGAATTAACTGGAAATGCAGAGTCAGCAGAGGAACCATAGGACTGGGAACCAAGAATTCCTGCATCCTGACCTTTACCATCAAGCCCCAAAATCAAACCACAACAAACTGCTCTGACACAAGCTGGGCTGTTGCAGCTGCTCATGCATGTCTAGATTTAGGCTCAGGCCCTCATATTCAGTTTTTCTAGTTGTAAATCTAGCCAGAAACAGCTTCCCACTTTCTCTTCTTTTGCTCTGTAGTGGGGACTGATGGATGACAGTGAGGGGCCTAATGGCTGGAGGCACTCTGGGTCACTCCATCCTAGCTGAACTCAATCTTACCTCAAAGTCGTTCCCTTTGTTGTAATGCATGTTGAGAGCCCGGAATAGCTCGGAGTTCCGGGAAACCATCAGGTCTTTACAGTCTGTGACTCCCTCCAGGATGGCTTGTCGGGCAAACTTCTCCATCTGGATGTAGTAAAACTCACGAAAGTTACTGAACCACTTGATGAGCTGGGAAGTGATGCAGCGGTTGAACTGTGTAATGAAAGACACCAGACAGGCAGGGGTTAAGTGTGCTCTGCTGAACAATGTGAGAAGAAACCACATTTTAGTGAAGCAAAGGCACCAAAGAAGGGAAGGACCTTATTGCACCAATATGGGAACAGCTCTCTAGAGCTGCTATACCTGCCTGTGGAAAAGTTCACAGATGGAATGAGTGAGAGAAATCAAATGTTCTTTTGCTAACAGAGTGGAAAAGGTTCTGCCTGGATGTTTTCTACAAGAAGCACTGAAATGTGGCGTTATACCTGAGCCTCATGGTTCTTGCAAAAAGGTTCAATGTGGGAGTTAATCAGCAAACTGGGAGGGAGTTTCAGTCCAAATGCATGGACTACAGATGATGCCCAGAGATTTTAAGTTGGATATTTTTTCCTTTACCCATCAGCTCTGGATAAAATTTTCCATCAAGCTAAACCCCAAGCCCATCGTCAGGGACAAGGGTGCAAATATACCATAGCTGGTGGGGCTGTTGGACACTTGTCCATACTTAATGTTCCTTCCCATTCTTTCCATCACCTGGTTTTATCCATGCACATGCATGGCCTTTTTGAAACAGCTGCTGCTCATTGTTTAGCTGGCAAAACAGAAGGCCCACAAAGAAAATAATGTGCTCATAACCAGCTACTAGGGGTTGCTAAAACATCAGATGGGAACCTGTGACAGTGCAGTACCTATGTCTCTACAGATAGTACCTATGTGACATGTGGGAGATGTAACTGTAGTATAGCTAGTTACAATGTAATTTAGGTAGCTCAGGTACCAGCAGCTGTGAAGACTTGGCAGTGCAGACCGTAAAAGCCTGCCAGGGCCTCTGGGTACATAGGCAGGGGGCCAGCCTGCAGAGAGTTTATGCTGCCATGTCTTTACTGCTGTTGGCAGTTGAGCTAGCTAAATTAAAGTGAGCATGAGCACAGTTCCCTGTGCCCATCCTGATTGTGGTGGAGATGCAGCATAACCCTGGGTATTAGACTGATTAAACTAGTGACCCTTGTAAGGTGGCAAAGCCAGGGCAGGTATCTTTACCTGGACATCAAGGAAGTAGGTTTTTAGCAGAGTGGAGCTGGGATATCGAGTGAAGAAGAACATCAGCTTGGCCTTCTTCAGGTGGCCAGGGGTCAGAGCCTCTTGGATTTATCCTGGAGTCAAGGAAAAACTTTCCTGTTTCCGTACACATGCAAAGATCTACTGAATGTCCCCCTGGGGATGGTCAAGGACTCCTTGCATTGATCTTCTCTGTTCAGATACCGTAGTCACTGCTGCTTGACAATGGGACTGGAAGACAAGTGCTCCCCAGGGAGCTGCAGTCTAAGGGAGGTCCTCTAACTATCTGACACCCATACAGACTTAATTACTGAATACTCCTTCCTTCAACAGTCCCAGCTGGGGGAAGCCCTCTCCCTTTCTGTAATGGGGACTTCCATGGAATAGTTTTTTTAGTTCTAGGACTACGGGGCCATCAACATCTAAGATGTGGTGTGAGAATGGGGTTAGAGCCAGGAGTTTGTGGGATTCAACCGAGCTCAGCAATTGACTTCCCTTTGGACTGAAGAAACTCGTATCACCTTTATGTCCCAGCCATCCCTCTGTAAAATAAAGACAATAACATCCATGTATTCTTCTGCAAAAGGGTTGTGGGAATCAATGTATGTAAAGCACTTGGGAATGTGGTATAAGCTGTAAATGCTGAGAAGCAGCTCAAAGGAGGCCTTATGTTCTCCCATGGGTCCTCTATGAACAGACAGAGAGTTTCAGCCTCTGGGCCAATCTCAAGGGAGAAGTGGTCACTATTGGGCTCTCTGCTGAAGCACAGGCTCCTTCAGGCCCAGTACTCGGATGCTACAGCAGGGGTTGGCAGTGTTTTGGGGCAAAGTGCCAAAAAACCCTCAGTATCTACTTGTAAGATGTTGGTGTTTCAGGAGCAGATGGCAGGGGAGCCACAAGGGGCCCAATCCTTCTTGTGGCAGTGCAGCCCTGGCCCCCTTCCCGCCATCTGTTCCAAGGCACACCTGCACCTTCCACCAGCAATGAGCCAGGCCAGGGCTCTGCAGACACCAGTACAGCCACTTGTAGTCTCTTGGCTGCCAGCCACAGCCAACCCAGGCTCTGGGCAGGCCCCTGCTGTCTACCACAAAGCCTAGGGTGCTCACAGCAAGTGGTGGGGAGGCTGCAAACAGCTGCATCAAGGTCCACGGAGCCCCAGCCTGGCTCATTGCTGGTGGCAGGCGTGCAGACACCTCAGAGCAGATGGCGGGGAAGGGGCCTGGGCTGTACTGCCACAAGAAAGATTGGGCTTCTCATAGCTCCCCTGCCATCTGCCCCGAGGGCTGGCATGCCAAGCCAAATGTCTTCATGTACCACTCTCTGACATCTGTGCTGGGGGTTGCTGACCCCTGTGCTACAGAAAGATATTCCTTGGACCCTTTTAGGTGAGCAATGCCAACTAACAAAACCATCTTCTAGTCAGCCACAGAAAAAGAGAGCTGAGCTCTGAACAGAGCACAGTACTAACTTCTTGAATGAAAGAGAGAGTTTACATACTAGGCCTTCATAAGGATTCAGATGTGTATAGGCTACCCAGGTCCCTTTCCTAATACTATGTGAAATTTGGACATGTTCTCCTAGTTTCTTGCTCTAATATATAAAACCAGAGCTCTTAGTTTGGTCAGGTAAAACAGAAGACTATTACCCATGTGTTTGTCAGCAGCAACTGGCGCTAGAGGCTCTAGCTGTTGATTTCTGATGGTCATTAAAGGATATATGGATTGAGGAGAAGGACATCCCATCCATGATACTCTGCAGATCCCTGCATTCTGCTTTGCCAGCTGAAAGAAAAGCCAAACTTTCCATTTGAGTGGAGTTGGGGGATGTAGGATATTGCTGCTGTCTCATGACTGATGACCTCAGTTTGACTGCTCCCCATGGTTGGTCTAGGGATGCTGGGGAAGACCTATCTGGAGAAGAGGCAATCCTGCTGTTCCAATGGCCATTTTGACCATACCCTAGCAACTGGCTAAGAATCTGGTTTTCTTGAACTTGAGATGACATGAGCAAGGGGTAACTCATGTTAGGTACTTGGCAGGGTTTTCTTACCCCTCTTAAACTGACTGGGTAAGTTGGAAAGTCTGGAGACTTCTCTAAGACAAGTGACAAGGCCTCAGTCTGAGCTTCAGCCAGTGAATTCACCAAATTCTGGGAGGAAGCTTTAGGAAATTGTTTTTTCCTAGAGCATTCTACAGAAGCAAGATGCTCTCTTCTGTTGTCTGTTGTCGCCATGGGGAGGCTATCATACATTTGAGAGAGATGGCCTGGGAAGCTGGACAAGATCTTTTTCAAAACAGAGTCCACTGCCTGTGACACCACTCTGGCCAGCTCACCCTTTAGTGTCTCAGAAAGTGTTCTTTCTTCAGAGGACAGGTCACCTTTAATGACTATTTTGCTTTCTTCCTCTAGCACTTTGTGGCCTTCCATCTCTGAAGTGCTCCTGCAAAGAACTTTGTGCTGGTCTCTGGTGAGAGCCTGAATGCTTTTCTCCAGACTGTCTCCGTGCTTCTCCGTCAGTAAGTGCATAATCTGCTCTGTCCCTTCTTGGGTTTGATCAGAGTCATTGAGCTCATAAACCTGGAAGAATTTCTCTTGGAGTTGCCTCAGCTGCTGCTGCAGAACTTGAAGCTGTTCCTTTAGGTAGTGGTGCTCTTCTGCATTGGCGCTAGTCCCCACCAATTGTGCCACATGTGGACTCTGCTGCTGAGGCAGCTTTTGCTTTCTTTTGTTCTCTCTACAGCTCTCTCTCCTTTTCTCTGTGTTATGTTCTCTGTCTCTTTCTGCACTAGCGCCAAGTGCTATAGGGTTTGGTGAGAGGCTCATGCCTTGGATAATGCTTTCCACTCTGGCCCTCTTGGCACGTAGGTGTTCATTGCCAAACTCGTCTTTGTCACCAAAACAGAAGATGGGGGTGTGGCTCAAGGGAGGAGCAAGGGCTTGTGTTCCTTCCCTAGAAGATGAGTCTTCCCCATCTTGATGAAGTAATTCCATTATCTGGGAAGAAGGGCAAATGACTTTTGGTTCCTGTGTCCTGTTGCCTATTGTCTGGCTGAGGAGCTGTGATAGGTTGGGCACACTGGGAGAAGAGAACAAAGAGTCTCTTTGGAGACTGGATTCTTTTTCCAGCCCACCTGGGTGTCCTAAACTAGTAATTTCTCCATCCTGCTTAGAGACACTGCTCCCATTCATAGCCTTTGTTGCCTGCTTTTGAAGTTGAAGAGCCAACACTCAACAATGACAGGGACTGTTTGGGTGACAGTATTGCAAGACAGAAACAAGGCAGGATTTGGAGATTGCAGTCTCACAAGGTGTTTTGTGTTCCTGCTGCCCAAAGATCTGGAGCTGAGAAAAGAGCAAGAAAAGTTATCATTGAGCTCTAATATAGCAGCTCTCCACTTACGTGGAAATAGCTTTTCTTCCCAGATTCCTTGTGACAGCCCTGCTCATCTCCTGAAACCCACCACATCAAGGAATGACGGGTGCTGAAAATCTTCCAACCAGCTCATACTTGCTACACAGCCTAAGACAGCGTGAATGCACTGTGCTGATGCCTGGGACTGTGAAGTGGTTTCCATTCAGAACCAGATCATTGGTCCTAAATTCAAATGGTTTGAGGTCACATCCTCTCTGCAACCAGGACTTTCAGTAGTGCCTACTTTTCTATGGAGCTGTTGGCTGCAGGAGACAGAGCTTTCTTGGGAGCCAGTCTGTGGCTTTGATTAGTCTTCCTTCAAGAAGTTAGAATGACTGCAAGCCTCTGTCTTCAAGATGAAGATGCAGCTCCTTTCCAGATCTTCCCAATAATAATTGTAATACAATGCAAACCTTTATCTCCCACTGAAGAGAAGAGAAGACAAGGGAATGTATGTAGTGTAATGCCTCGAGAGAGAGAGAAGATGGTAATAAATGGAATCGAAGCTCAACATTGGTCAGACTACACATTCCCACACTGCACTGCCATACAGTGGTGATACATGGAGTATAAGTACCCAGATAGACTGTGCAACCAAACACTGTTTACCCAAGCATAAGCCTAGATTTCATAGATTCATAGAAGTAGGGTCGGAAGGGACCTTGTAGATCATCAAGTCCGACCCCCTGCCCTTGGCAGGAGAGAAACTGGGCTCAAATGACAACAAGCCTCCTCTTAAAGACCCCCAGGGTAGGAGCCAGCACCACTTCCCTTGGAAGTTGGTTCCAGATCCTAGCCACCCTGACTGTGAAGTAGTACCTTCAGATGTCTAATCTAAACTTACTCTCTAACAATTTGTGGCCGTTATTCCTTGTTACTCTGGGGAGCGTTAGGGGGAACAGGGCCTCTCCCAAACCCTGATGGTCCCCCCTGGTGAGTTTATAGATGGCCACCAGGTCCCCCCATAGCCTTCTCTTGCAAAGGCTGAACAGGTTAAAGTCCTGTAGCCTCCTTTCATAGGGTCTGCCCTGCTGTCTCCAGATCATATGGGTGGCCCTCCTCTGGACCCTCTCAATGCTGTCCACATCCCTCCTGAAGTGCGACACCCAGAACTGAACACAGTACTCCAGCTGCGGCCTGACCAGTGTCACACAGAGGGGGAGAATCACCTCCTTGGCCCTGCTTGAGATGCATCTGTGGATGCACAACAAGGTACGGTTAGCCCTACTGACCGTGAACTCACATTGTTGGCCCATGTTCATCTTGGAGTCAGGCTGCCCTGGATTTCTCTGGTCAGCCAAGGAAGCCTCCTGGCCCCTTTCCCTCTTTTTCCTCACATCGGGATCGTCTCCCTTATGTCCAGGTCCTGCTGTAATCTGTCCTTCCCTGCTAGCGTGCCCACCTCACCCCAAATCTTGGTATCATCAGCAAATTTAAACAGGCTGCTGTTTACCCCGTCGTCCAAGTCACTAATAAAGAAATTTAACAGTGCGGGCCCAAGGACTGAGCTTGGGGGACTACACTGCCCACTTCCCTCCTGGACAAAAAATGACCCATCCGCCGCTACCCTCTGAGTATGACCCTTCAGCCAATTTGCAATCCATCTGACTGTGTAGGCATCAATGCCACAGTCACCTAGTTTTTTGATGAGAATGGGGTGGGAGACAGTGTCAAAGGCCTTGCTGAAGTCCAGAAAGACGGCGACACCTGCATCCAATGCTTTTGTGACCTGATCGTAGAAGGCAATCAGGTTGGTCTGGCAGGACCTGGCCCTAATGAAACCATAGTGGTTGCCCTTGAGCATCATCTCTGCTGCTGGCCCATCACAGATGTGCTCCTTGATGATCTTCTCAAAGAGTTTCCTCAGGATTGAAGTAAGACTAATGGGCCTATAGTTGCCAGTGTCCTCCCTCTTCCCTTTTTTGAAGATGGGGACCACGATGGCTTTCTTCCAGTCATCTGGCACCTGGCCAGAGCACCACGAGTGCTTGTAAAGCCATGCCAGGGGCCCCGCAATAACCCCTGCCAATTCCCTCAACACCCTGGGGTGGAGAGCATCTGGACCTGCTGATCTGAACACGTCCAGCCCCTCCAGAAGCTCTCTAACCTGGTCCTCCCTGACCTTAGGCCTGGCGGCGTTTCTCCCGAGTCCGTCTGGAGTCCTGGTTGGGGAGTCCCAGTCTCTGCAGAGGAAAACGGAGGTGAAGAATTTGTTAAAGAGGTCTGCTTTCTCCTCTGGTGCACCCACCAGATTGCCAAGCATATCCTGCAGGGGCCCCACATTACCCGGTGCCTTCTTCATTTTCCCTATAGATTTAAAAAAGGACTTTTTATTATCTTTGATCCTTGATGCTAGCCCTAGCTCCGTATCTGCCTTAGCTTTTCTAACAGCCCCCCTACAGACCTGAGTAGTGGAGGTATACTCCTGTTCGATGTCCATAGAGCAGGAGTGGGCAAAATCCAGCCCACCAATTGATTGTATCCAATTCCAGCCTGCAGCTGCCCCTGCAGTGGTCTGCATGAGGCCAAGCCCCGACCTCTCCCACCCAGGACAGCCCACACTGCACTTGACAGCTCTGGCCTTGGCCCCAGCCAGCACACGCAATGTTGCTGGTACAGCAGCCCAGGTACTGCACAGCTCCCCCTGGCCTCCAGCAGCTCCTCATCTTTCTGTCCATGCTGCACTGCTCTGGGCAGCAGGTAGCATGAGGAAGCGGTGGGGATGTGTGCCAGGTACCACATTTATTTTAATTTTTTTAAGGAAAATTCATGTCCCAGGTCAAATTAGCCAGATCAGGTCCAAATCCATTTTGATCATGCAAGAACCATTTGTGACCCTGCTACTGGCAAGTATCTTCCACCCCAACCTGGGGCTTCAGATACTTACAAGTCCTTTGGCAGGCATCCTACATACAGACCCAAGCCTGGAGGCTTGGGGTTCGGATGCCCCCAAGTTTCACTTGCCCTCAGCCGTTTGGCTGCAGGAGCAAGCTGGGGAGGAGTCTCCCATTTCCATAAAGTCAGCATGTAGCTGAGATCCTCCCACTGGAAGCTGGCCAGTGGGAAGCTACCTATGAGGCTTTCCTAGGCTTTCTGCTCTCAAGCAGACGAGGGTGTACCTTCCATTACACAGTGCCATTTTAATTGCACTACCTTCGTCAGTGTA